CATACGATTCGTCCATCGAATGCTCAATGCCATCATTAAATTTTCCGCCACGCCCGCTGATCTGAAATGCACTTCATTGTCATTCGAATTATGCTTACCAAGAAGGTCTTCTAGTCATGTCGCGCTTTCTCGAAACGGTTTTTTCGCATGATATAGGAGGCACATGCATGGAGCATTGAACTGCGCTGCAGTTTTTCTGAGCGGCCCTCCGAACGCCAAGAAAGGGGACCAAAGGTTGGTGTATGGATCGATTACCCAAGGTGACATAGTTTTCCGGCTGGCAATTGCACGATGTCGCATAATGGTACCCGTCGTATGCAATGAATGCCTAGATACCATAGAAACCATCGGTAACTCATTCGAGTTACGAAAAACTCATTTAAGGTTAAAACAAACAGGGGTCAGAAGATGTAGCGCTTGAGCTTTATAACCGATTTTCTGGCACACAAAGGGCTACTCAGGACACTGAACCATAGCCGTGAATTGAGCGAATTGCGTAAAAAGGCGCTCACATTTTAGATGGCGCGTCCGCATGAAAGAATTGACTTCATCTCCAAAAATTTAGTGCTTAGAAACAAATTTTTCACACACGATAAGAAGTAGTACCATAGGAAAGTGAAGTGTACCCACCTATACTTGTAACAGTTTCAGCCAAAATTTAATGATTCCTAGAGTATTCACCACAGTTTGTCAGCACTTACACGTTGACGTGGTGAGCCGGTTAGGCGACATCGGCAGTGAATCGCAAGGCTGAGGAAAAACTGCTTGGTTGTTTGAAGTGCTAAAACATTTCGTTACTGTTGTGAGCAATAGGTCTGAGCCATCGACATAGAGGAAATTGATTACGCGGTTTCTGTGCATGTTGCTACACGACGAACCAGCACGAGTATCTACTTGCGCGTAAGCACCGTAGCTCAGGGCTCACAGTTTCTAATGAAGTGAAGTTGTTGAAAAGCGTATTGACGGTGCAACTATAACTTTCTCAGGAAATCGGCTACTTCTCTTTCCACTTCCTGCCATTTTTCAAAAGTTTCCCTTGAGTCTTTAGTAACCTTTCTTTGTTGGTCGGCTTGGCCGGTATCTTGTTTGTTGACCTCTTTCTTCTGTAATCTCGGAGGCGCGTTCATCAGCTTTTCTTTTTAAAAACAGCAGACACTAGGGCTTTTTTCGTATCCATATCGATGAAGTAGGATAGTTAGGTAGAAATTTAGTACTCAAAGTGCTTTTCTCACTGTTTGCGTATGATTCCGAAATACACGAAGAACTCCGCGCGATCACTTTTTCCATAAAAATAATTTTACAATCCTCTTTAGCTACGCGTGTGCGTCAAGCTGAGCTGTGTTTTCGATGGAAGTTGTGGGCGATATATCTACATGGCACTCCTTTCTCGTTGGTCTCATATCCGTGGGGCTCAATTCGTTGCTGCTTTACACAATTTGTTTGAGATCACTGAAGGTCATCGGCGTGTACAAATACATGATGATCGCAACGACAATATTCGACATTTTATTTAGCCTTGTCGAGATGGTCGCTAGTCCGGTATGTTCTCGAAATTCTAGACTTTTGCGATGAATATTCCTAGACACCCATAGGGAGCCATACACGAAGCTCTAAAAGTCTACAGCATGGTTGACCAGTCGGAGCGCACTGCTGCGTTACCTACATACATTTAGAAACGCCTATTCTAAGGAGTTGGAATGCGTGGTGGATTTCTCATCCCTCCAAACTACAATATATCATATAACTTTTCAATTATCCCTTTCTCTCATCAATTCATGCGCAATGAAGATTTGTGAATGACCTCGCGACGACTTTTTCTAACCATGGAGCTGAGGGTGAACTAAGATTGATGTATGGCCAAAATTTTCATGAGCTTTGAGCATTTTTCGGACTGCATGACGTTGTCTACTTATCAACATTCCTCATTGGTTGCTACATATTTGTAGGTTGTCAGGATATACAACAACGGGAAAGTAGAGAAGAATTTATGATAGCACGTGGTGAAGGCATCGGTTTTCAGTGAAATTTGATGAACTGCATCTACTACGTGTGTGTGATCGCTGAGCAAGGCTTTGAATGACATTCTTGTCCATGGAGAGAGGAGTGATCTCACCCGTCAGTCCCATCTATTTAGTACGTCCTAAATACTGGGGATGAGTAATTCGGATTGGGAGCAGTTGAACGAGCCGTCACTCCTAGCCTCTATCCCATACGTAGTAAAGGTGGTGATGAGGCATTTGCGGCTGGTATGGTGAACTTCCACTAAAAAAAGACCGAAATTCCAACGAAACTTCAAATGCTATTTTTGAATCAGAGTTTCAAAAATTCGTATTTTAGAACAGAACCCCAAGCAAACACCTTTGAACGCAGTAATAGCAGGAGTAAATGCAGACTACATTTTTTGGTCATTTCAGACATTCGCTTCTGTGAATCTTCTAGCTTCTTTGATGATTGTGATGGGAGGCTTTCGTTTTATACCGCATGATGTCGGAATAACGATTCTTATAATCTTTGTGTTTCTTCTTTGCCAATCTATTGTCACTCCACCATGCCTATTCGTTTTTCGATATCTTCAAATATGCAGGTTCGTCAATGGATGCGCTAAGTGAAGTACGGATATTTGCAATCGGTCAATATTATGGTGTATGTCGACAACATTCCTAATTCACACATGTGTGGTGTTATAGTGACGTGATCCTGAAAATTTAGTTAAAAATCCAATCTGTAACGCTAATTCTTAGCTGGTCATACTTTAGGGCTAGTTCAACCGTCGTTGTTCCTCTTATCCCTTCCTTAATGAAACCCACCTGGCCACTAACCGAACCTGAGTTAGTTGACCTAGTAGACATCTTAGCTAGGGTTAGGTTGCATTTGTTAAGCTTGTGATCCCCTGCGCCTTTTTAAATTATGTTACAAATATAATGACGCTTCTGACTTGAACAGTTTGTTACTTTGAGGGCGGCCCATTGTCGCGCATCCCGTACAGTACACACCTCCTGAGCCGGTGCCAGACAAGTTTAGCGAATAACTAGCGGACCGCGGGGTAGGATGGATGTGCCAGTGCTTTACGTAGGACACCAGTGGTTCAAATCATGCGGCAGCAATGCAAGTGTGGGGAAGCGAAAAAAGAAAAGGACAAACCTGTCCGAATCAATAGTACAGTTGAACTATCTATCCTATACCAACTAATTATCAGTTTTATTTGCACGCTAAATAGAGATTGAGCTAGAGGAATTTTGGCCACAGGAATTGGTGATTGAAAATGTAGAAAGGTATTCCGTAAAAATCTGAGGACGTCTCCCAGCTTTGCTGCGTGACCATGATACCTATTCCCATTCCACGATCGAAAGCCGGCTCATTTGAAGTACAACATTCGCGCTCTGCTCGAGAGCACTAGCCAAGAGGGTTTTCAACGGCATAAACAACATGTCATTGTAACAGTGTGAGATTACGAAAGGATTGGTGATCACATTCATCTACACGTGCCCCGGTTCAGTGAATCAAGACATGATATCGGTAATGTGCCCCGTTGCTTCAACTTGGGATGATTGCGTACGGACGGATGAACAAGTAAATCAAAAAAAACTATTTCTTTCGCTGCTACCTTGTTCTTTAACAGTTTGTCAGATGGCGTGAAAAAGGGTCAATAGAACCGTGTGAAGGAAATCTCAACTGATTACATCACGGGCGTAATAGTTTCTGCGGCAGCAACTGATATCCGCATTCGTAGTCTTGCTCCCGTACATTTTGGAAAGTTCCGCCAGATCTGTGGATCTCACGTCAGAGTTACATTCTCAATGCTAGCCATCCCGAAGTTAACTACACAGAATCTTCTAGGACGAGATCCACAGTTTTGATATCTTTTCGACACGCCATCCTTTTTTTTCGTTTTTGACAGGAAAGAAATATATTTTTTTAAGAACAGAGGTCGTACAGGGAAAAACTCAAAATTTTGTGGGTGAAGTCTGAAATACCTCTAACAATGGAGAAGTACAATATGCGTGGAACTAATAACGGAGCAACTGCTAACTTAATGACTAATTGTTTTGTTCAAAGTACTGCGCCAATAGAGAAGTTGGCAATGGCCGCAACAATGCTACTGGGAGACTTGAGCACCCCGACGGAGTCGCGACGCAAAGTTCGGAAACACTGCCAGAATTTGACGTGTCATCTGTGCGCTAAACTGGTGAACACAAGGCAGGGGGTTGCAAATAGTGGACGTCCCTTCCCTAGCTTGCGGGTATGTGATCATCTCTTGCTCTGAAAGACATAATTCGCTCCCAGAGCTTTCCTTATCAGCAGCACGTTCTTTGTTCGGCAATGATGAGTAGATCTTCTGGAATGTATATACGTGCATTGTGTAGAATGTTGTTTTTGTGGAGTTCCCTTGTTGCTTGGTATACGTGGTCAGATATTCGGGTAGAAACATTCGTATTGACATCACAACTCTGAGAAGTACTGAAATTGGAGAAAAAAACGGCCGCGAAAGTATTGTCGTGCCCTGTAAAGTCTGCAATGCGATTACCAAATTTGCCGCTGCAGACGATTAACTATTGCTCACATTGGCCGCACTGCCACCTGCTGGACCCATATGGAGACGAAATTTGATTCTGTTGTATAAGCCTGCGCTGCCTATTGAAATGTAACGCTGCATTGATATTTAGGCAAAGTAAAATTGTGGGTCACTCATAACCTCATTTGCAGGACAACTTTTCTGTCAAGGCACTATCGCCGCTTGAAATATCTTCTAATTATTCCTTTGCTGGTGTCGTTTTCTTGCTGTGCTATGATCTGTTTTGCCGCTTGGCCCACCGACACGGATAAGGATATGTTCGACAGAATCGCTTATAACATTAATGTCGACTGGAATTCGACTTATTTGGTCGCATCGTTTTATGTGAGGAGTGCTTTCGAAACTAGAAAATTAAGCTTGAGTAGCTATCAAGACAAAAGTTTAGAAATACATTACAACCTTTGACCGTGCTCAAAGCATTGTGATGATGGCGGCAGCGATCACTTTAGTTATTGTGATGATCATTGCTTTATCATTGATGGTGTATTGTACGATGTCTATAGTAGAAGCTGCCAGACAGGGTCTCGATACAAGAACTCGAAGAATTCAAGTACAGCTCTATCGTACTCTGATTGCACAGGTATAGTTATTAGGAAACAATTCTTTGCGCACAACGAATACAACACATTTATACTGGGTGAAGAAAAATTACGTGTGCCTAATGTTTTGCTCAGTTTTGAACACTCGGGACCCCGGAATGTGCGTTCTTTTGGTTTCGAAGTATCTATGCATTGATGACTAGTGCATTGTGGAGGAACGTGCGTCTTCCATGTTTTGACAAGGATCGACTCAAGCTGCCGCGGGACTGGATAGAAAGGAATGGAAACAGGAAGATGTTCAAATCAAATCCGTAGGAGAATGAGAACAGACCACCTTTATCAGAAGAGCGCACAGAATCGTTAGAGGACGAGTGACCAAAAGGACAAGCGGAGCTGTAAGAGTGCAGCCGTTCGAAACTCCTCGAAAATGTAAAAATTATAGTCAAAAGTAAGCATTTAATTGGAGTGTGGGTATGCCACACAAACAAGTTTTGACCGTTCAGGTAAGTCAGGATCGGAAGGAAAAATTGAAGAATTGGTAGGATTTCTTCGGGGTGCGATTACGACTTGTGTGGCTTCCAAAAAAAGCTTACCATTTAGGCGGTCAAAAAATCTCATAACTGCCTTTGCTTCTGAGCTTAACTTCCAAGAACTTTCGCAACTCTAAAATGCTCGCAAAGCTCCATTCTTAGAACATTTGATGATTTGAAGTTGCATCAGTGCTTCAGGCAAGCTTCCATCGGTTTTTTTCCGATTTGAACATGAAGGTGCATGTGAGTTCTATGAAGAAGATGTTGACTAGGAAAATTCGGTGTTCAGAATGCAGGGCGATATCGATTTTATGTTATGCAGGGATTGACTGAAACTACTTGACCAATACAGCGATCTAACAAGTGTTAATATTACTACATCAAAGCCAAAATCGGCCTTTCTAAGGATGGATTTGAAGCATACAGTACAAATTTGAACCCTCCTGACTCTTGTTCAAAGTTCAAATGGAAACTGTTCGGAGACCTCGAAAAAAAAACTGTTCTAAGGGTGGAATTAGTTGGACGTTGAACACCTCCCGCACCATTGAGTCGATGGCGAAACTAATTTAGACCTCTATCAATATCGCTGGTTGCTTTATCAAAGTCCTTCGCAACTCGAAAATGTTTTGGCTCGTTGTTGTACAAAATATGTTTATTCCAAAGTCACTCGAAGTATGAACGTTTTAGGGCGCACGCAATTATTTGCCACCCGGTATATCTGTATTCGTAGAGAAGCTGGCGTTGTATATATCCTATTCGTACTGAGTATTATGTTTCTTTTGAACTCACCAGGAAAGGTCATTAGGCCAACCCGGCCAAATGAAATGAGGTGCACATTTCTGTACGCAGCATGAGACGCTGAACTCAAATCTGCTTTCATTATCTGCTGAACTCTTCTCTGAAAGGAGTTACGGAGGGTTTTTGTTGCCGCCCTTGATTTTCAGTGTTTTGCCTGCAATCACATGTTAGCTGCATTATAAAAGTATCGAAAGGAGAACCGAGGCACTTGAGTGAGCTTCGGTAGCGCAGTTGGTAGCGGTCTTGCTTCTCAAGTAGGGGTCGCGGGTTCGATTCCTTCTGGGGTTTAGTGTGGGGGGAATGGGGAGAGGTGTTGTATTAGAAATAATGCTTTGCAGATCTTTGGATGATGCAGACGGGCAAGCCAGACACAATTTTTGTCTATTATGAAAAGTGTTAAAAAGGTTTATTCTACCCAAGTGCCAGCCTTTTGTAATGGATTGGTGGATCGGTGAGTAAGTGACTGCCCAAATTTTCGAGGTTAGGTCAAAATTTCAGAATTCGCTAGAAGTTTCGCTCAAAGGGAGAGTCTGACTCCCTGATTACGAATATCATACTTGTTCGAAGCAAAAATGCCTGGCGCCTGCGCTACAAGCGCCCAAAGTAGTGAGGAGCGATGCCGTCCAAGTTCGTTATTAATTGCCAACAAACTCGCCAGGGAGTCGATCCCCTGACCTCTTTTTCGTGAGCCTCGACCACAGCCCCTGCGCTTTTCTGCTTCATAATTCCTTTCAGAGAAGAGTTCAGCAGATAAGGAACACATATTTGAGCTCAGCGTCCCAAGGCGCGTATACACATATACATCTCATTTCAATTGGCCGGGTTGACCAAATGACCTTTCCTGGTCAGCTAAAGAGCATTTCCCTAAAGGTTCATCCGCATCGTTGGAACGTGTAGCAACTTCGATCCGCGCTCTTGAACATGGAGACGCAGTGAATGGAAATTAGATCCTCCCATTTCATCTATAAGAGTAGGATAGTAGTAGGATAGCAGTCCAGCGGTAACAGAAAACCATATGCAAAGTTCAAGATAAGTTCATGGAATGAAATCCGGAACCCTTAAAAATCTCATCTCCCGGAGCTCTTGGAGAACCACCTGTAGAAAGGGTCGATTGAATGGGGCTAATGCAGGAGTGGATGGGGCCACAAGGTTTGAGTTAACCGTGATCACACACCTTGGTTCCCCGTAGCCGATTGTCACAGTGTTACCAGGGTCTTGTATTTTCTTAGCTAATATTATCATCCGGTTTTTTTCTATCCAAAAGACGCTAAAATTCTTTCTTCGTGTTGACTTGATGGAGTAAGCAAGCATCTGTTTCCTGATTCGCTGCAGGATTTGTTCAGATGATTGACCTAATTCCTTGTACGATTTCAAATAAACTAGACATCGAATAAATGGAGCACCCTGATAATTTGCAGAATATCGTTACAGTGATGTTGCAGAATAAGTAAGTAACGCTTGATGGGAAAAGTCGTTGAGGACAGAAGTAACGTACAGCTCACAGTGTATCAAGTGCATCTATGCCACATCCTTCCACTGAGCAAGTGTTTCCGATTGTTTTCCGCTTTTCAGTCACTTATTCCTTTCTTGTTCATTCACGTGCCATTCTATCTTTGCGTGTTGGCACCTTTGGTCCATGTAGACACCGGTGTGGCGTCTGACTTCCTGCCATTTCTATTTGCATGGAGTCCTGCTATTAATCCACTGATAGTTATGTACTTTGTCCGTGACTATAGAAAGTTCGTGCTGAGTAAGGTTATGCGACTGCGACGCGATATTCCATCCGCCACAAACAGTGTATTCCCGACTGCCACCAAGAGACCATAACATCATTTTCACTTAATATCGTACTAAATGTACTAAATAGCCTAGCAAGTGGTCCACATTTCATTCCATTTTACTGTTGCTAATTATCAGATTCAAATTCAGAACATTTTTCGCTTGTGTACTGTTTTTTAGTGTTGAAGTTCATGTAAGGTTCATGCTGTACGGTGCTAAATCGCCATGTTGCAAAAAGATGTGTACAGATCTTTTCGATCACATAGCTCTTTGATGTTTCTTTGATGTGTTTTCTTCATCACAGGCCTTTTAATGCATTTTCTTTCTAATGGTTTCAAGTACCCTCCTACAGTTTGAGTTTTCGAGCGAGTCTGATTACTTTTCAGGTAGATAAAAATACGGGAACTTCATGCCTACAATTAACGTTTCCATAGCACACGAGCAAACCCTAAACCTTTTGTCTTTCCGATGAACTCTATTTATTAGTTGTGATGCTGGATGATGAATTCCTCGCACTATCGAAAACACTGTTCAATGAAGAGATTGTATGACTGAACGTAAATTGGAATGATTCAGAAACTCTTACATGTGAGGGTCAAAGTTGCAGTGCTGAATGCTGAGTGAACTGCTGCAAATAGGCAGTCGTGAGCGACTGCAAAAAAAAACGGTAAATCTCAGGGCCAGCAGTTATCTCAAAGCTGTTTTGACGCTGGTCTCATATCTCTGCTATTTTTGCCGCATTTTGGTTGAACACTCACATTCTCGGCCAATTCTCTTATTAACTGGTTGAAGGAAGAACTGCTGTCACCACTGTTGATGCTTTAATCCATCTAGAACGGAAAGAACAGATTGTTGCTCTCAGGGATTGTATATCATATATACTTCTTAAACTCTGTGAGATAAAGGCTATGGATAGCTATATGAGACTCCTTTCCAATAGTTATGCTTCGCCCAGAAATAATGTGTGCATTGATCAACTCTAATATTCCTCCGGCTCCCGGTCAGAAGTTTGTTCACTGTAAACGTCACCTTTTAGTATAGTTCAATGTCAAAGTCGTTCGAAAGTATCCGATTAATCGAAGAAGGGCTCTGTTTGGCATAGCTTCCTTCGATCTGTAGCTGCGTTGAGGCAACCGACGTACCATCGTGTCTGGTTGAAATCTTTCTTTGAGGCTTGGTTTGTGGCAATACGAGTATTCTTTCTAGAGAGCAAATGGAAAACGATAAAAAATGCAGGTTTGAGATTTGATTTTCTTCCCGGCCTTGCTGACGTGGCCAAATTTGCGTAGCACCCCCTGTAGGCACGCAAGCATTGCTTAAAAGAGTTTATTCTTAAAACCTGAATATTTGAGCACTTTCCTCCATCAAATCCACCCCAATTCTTATTGCATTATCTATTAGCCCAAAATTACGCGGCATTTTTTTTCAAAGATGCGAAGGTTTATCTATTATTTTTCTAAGGTTTATCTATTTAGGAGAGTACCCGATATCAGTTTGCCTTTGAATCGATGTAGTGCTGTAAACTTCAGGTTCTGAATGGGTTTACCTTCTATCTGCGATTGTTTGAGAGAGGGAGACTAAAAATTAGAGAGCAGACACTACCAAGACGACCCCTTATGTTAGAATGCGCAATATTTTAAGCCTCGCCCAAGAATTCCGTCGTTAGTGGTGCGTAATACACTGATGATCCGCACACGCTGGCATCATGGACCTTGCAGACCGCATAAGATGTTCTGTTGTGCATGTGCTACTTCTTCCAATTGCATTTCTATTTATTAGTTATTATTTACTTCTTCGTATTTTACTAATTCCCATTGTCTATTCTATGCCAGTAAATTTCGGAATAGTCAAAAATGCTTTAATTTAGCAGAGGTCTATTTTTAATTCGATTCACTTTTGGATTTTTTTGTCGTCAGAATTCATACACATTCACGTTTTTGTACAATTGATGCTCAAAATTAAGCGGTGTATGGTAAGGCCAGGGCGTTTGCAAAATCATCTGCGCAACGCTGCCAAAAGAGCACAATGTTCAACGTCAACGTCAACGTCTCTTCAACTGAGATTCAATTCATGAGAGATTCTTTTTCAGTGCATCACGATAAAAAAGGAGGTTGTCTATTACAAAGTTTTGTACCACTTATGATGAGCTACTAGAATTCGTAAGTGATGACTGAGGTGAAAGAAAATATCAATCAAGTGACTACGTTATGTTTTCCATGATTGTTGAGCCATTTTACATCGAATTCCATTGAAATTCTCGGAATAATGTTAAGGTTTGAAATCTGAACCACGATGTGGCATCCACATTGGCCATCTGGGAAGCTGGTCATTTCGTTTGCATTTGCTTCCTGTAGCTAACACCTCAAATTTCTTGAGATCTTTTCTGTGCCTATTTTTATGAATACTTATTTTCGAATGAAAGGCAGGGCAACGTTTCTAAGAGAGATAGCCGAGCACACTTTTTCGAGCAGCGCTGCTACAGTATATTCGGGACTTTTTATTGTACTGATTTTATAAGCGAGGGAGGTTGAGCGAGTATCGGCGCTGGTGGAGTTGAGGCCTTTGACAACGACGAATTTGTCGAAACGTTAGGCTGAATAAAAATTCCACCATAATAAACCTGTTTGGCACAATAAAAACAACTAATTATTCGGGATTGACTTCCCTTATTTTCGCGAAAGTTGACCCACACACTGGGCATCTTATGAGTCTCAGTGTCAAGGTTCCATATGACCCGCTATTGTGAACGAATCTGAACAAGCTGCCGATGCTTGACAGAACGCTTCTAGTGTGAGATTTTGACTGTACTGATAAATCCCACGAAACTTGAAGCTTTGAGAAGAAGATGCCTAAATTTCACATGGCTTGAGCTTGTCCGAATTTCTGTTATGACCTCGTATTCCGTTGTTTCTTTCGGTCCTCTCTTATTGCTTAAATGACCATCTATTGGCTAGCGCACATGAGAAGCAGACACTGTGTGCTAGCCAATGCTGCGAGCCTCGGTAGCCTGGCTCCGAAGGATGTAGAAGCTCTGACAAGTCTGAGGGAGGTTCATCTATAGCGAAACGAGTGAAGGTGCACTATTGGACGCGAATCTATCCAGTAGACAAGAGAACAAGGCAAAGCCTTCGTTATTCTAAGACCGCTCGACGTTTTATTGCTAGAACATTAGAATTGTTATACACTGCGTTTCATAAATATAGGTCCACCCTAACTTTTTGCTATTCCAAAGTTGCTGTGCATTTTTGGAAAATGCCGCTATTA